GGTCCGGGTTGAATCCCCGGACCCACCTCGATGTCGCGGATGGGTGCACCAAGTGCTGCGCATTTTGTCCCCGCCGCAACTGCTCATGCTGATGCCTCCTCCAAACCGAGGTGGGTTGTGTGTGGTGGTTTGACGGGTCGTGAATGGAAGCTTGCGGCACGAGGACAAGGGCGTGGTTGTGTTCGGTGCATTCCGCTGCTCGTTTTTGGTGCCGCGACGACACTTTGGTTTGTGGGTGGGCTGCAGTTGGAGCGGCTGGGGAGGCGGTCGCTGTGGCTGAGGGAGGGGGTTCGGAGAGGAGGGAGCGCCGTTTTGGAGGTGAAGAGGAGGAAGCGCATGGGAGGTGGCTTGCAGGAGAGAGGCGGGCCGCGCGTGTCGGAAAATAGTGCGATGCAGCGGAGGAGGTGACTAGCGGAGGACAGGGCAGGTTGCGTGGGGGTGCGCTGTGGAAGGTCACCTGCGGGACTCGTCGGCTGTTTAGTCTAGTGGTATGATTCTCGCTTAGGGTGCGAGAGGTCCCGGGTTGAAATCCCGGAACAGCACCTCGACGTGGCGGGTGGGTGCACCAAGTGCTGCGCATTTTGTCCCCGACCCAACTGCTCATGCTGATGCCTCCTCCAAACCGAGGTGGGTTGTGTGTGGTGGTTTGACGGGTCGTGAATGGAAGCTTGCAGCACGAGGACAAGGGAGTGGTTGTGTTCGGTGCATTCCGCTGCTCGTTTTTGGTGCGGCGATGACACTTTGGTTTGTGGGTGGGCTGCAGTTGGAGCGGCTGGGGAGGCGGTCGCTGTGGCTGAGGGAGGGGGTTCGGAGAGGAGGGAGCGCCGTTTTGGAGGTGAAGAGGAGGAAGCGCATGGGAGGTGGCTTGCAGGGGAGAGGCGGGCCGCGCGTGTCGGAAAATAGTGCGATGCAGCGGAGGAGGTGACTAGCGGAGGACAGGGCAGGTTGCGTGGGGGTGCGCTGTGGAAGGTCACCTGCGGGATTCGTCGGCTGTTTAGTCTAGTGGTATGGTTCTCGCTTAGGGTGCGAGAGGTCCCGGGTTCAATTCCCGGAACAGCCCCTCGACGTGGCAGATGGGTGCACCAAGTGCTGCGCATTTTGTCCCCGCCGCAACTGCTCATGCTGCTGCCTCCTCCAAACCGAGGTGGGTTGTGTGTGGTGGTTTGGCCGGTCGTGAATGGAAGCTTGCAGCACGAGGACAAGGGAGTGGTTGTGTTCGGTGCATTCCGCTGCTCGTTTTTGGTGCGGCGATGACACTTTGGTTTGTGGGTGGGCTGCAGTTGGAGCGGCTGGGGAGGCGGTCGCTGTGGCTGAGGGAGGGGGTTCGGAGAGGAGGGAGCGCCGTTTTGGAGGTGAAGAGGAGGAAGCGCATGGGAGGTGGCTTGCAGGGGAGAGGCGGGCCGCGCGTGTCGGAAAATAGTGCGATGCAGCGGAGGAGGTGACTAGCGGAGGACAGGGCAGGTTGCGTGGGGGTGCGCTGTGCGTTGTGGAAGGTCACCTGCGGGATTCGTCGGCTGTTTAGTCTAGTGGTATGATTCTCGCTTCGGGTGCGAGAGGTCTTGCGTTGAATTCCCAAAACAGCCCCTCGACGTGGCGGATGGGTGCACCAAGTGCTGCGCATTTTGTCCCCGCCGCAACTGCTCATGCTGCTACCTCCTCCAAACCGAGGTGGGTTGTGTGTGGTGATTTGGCCAGTCGTGAATGGAAATTTGCAGCACGAGGACAAGGGCGTGGTTGTGTTCGGTGCATTCCGCTGCTCGTTTTTGGTGCGGCGACGACACTTTGGTTCGTGGGTGGGCTGCAGTTGGAGCGGCTGGGGAGGCGGTCGCTGTGGCTGAGGGAGGGGGTTCGGAGAGGAGGGAGCGCCGTTTTGGAGGTGAAGAGGAGGAAGCGCATGGGAGGTGGTTTGCAGGGGAGAGGTGGGCCGCGCGTGTCGGAAAGTAGTGCGATGCAGCGGAGGAGGTGACTAGCGGAGGACAGGGCAGGTTGCGTGGGGGTGCGCTGTGGAAGGTCACCTGCGGGATTCGTCGGCTGTTTAGTCTAGTGGTATGATTCTCGCTTAGGGTGCGAGAGGTCTTGGGTTGAATTCCCGGAACAGCCCCTCGACGTGGCGGATGGGTGCACCAAGTGCTGCGCATTTTGTCCCCGCCGCAACTGCTCATGCTGATGCCTCCTCCAAACCGAGGTGGGTTGTGTGTGGTGGTTTGACGGGTCGTGAATGGAAGCTTGCAGCACGAGGACAAGGGCGTGGTTGTGTTCGGTGCATTCCGCTGCTCGTTTTTGGTGCGGCGATGACACTTTGGTTTGTGGGTGGGCTGCAGTTGGAGCGGCTGGGGAGGCGGTCGCTGTGGCTGAGGGAGGGGGTTCGCAGAGGAGGGAGCGCCGTTTTGGAGGTGAAGAGGAGGAAGCGCATGGGAGATGGCTTGCAGGGGAGAGGCGGACCGCGCGTGTCGGAAAATAGTGCGATGCAGCGGAGGAGGTGACTAGCGGAGGACAGGGCAGCTTGCATGGGGGTGCGCTGTGGAAGGTCCCTTGCGGGATTCGTCGGCTGTTTAGTCTAGTGGTATGATTCTCGCTTAGGGTGCGAGAGGTCTTGCGTTGAATTCCCGGAACAGCCCCTCGACGTGGCGGATGGGTGCACCAAGTGCTGCGCATTTTGTCCCCGCCGCAACTGCTCATGCTGCTGCCTCCTCCAAACCGAGGTGGGTTGTGTGTGGTGGTTTGGCCGGTCGTGAATGGAAGCTTGCAAGAAGAGGAGAAGGGCGTGGTTGTGTTCGGTGCATTCCGCTGCTCGTTTTTGGTGCGGCGACGACACTTTGGTTCGTGGGTGGGCTGCAGTTGGAGCGGCTGGGGAGGCGGTCGCTGTGGCTGAGGGAGGGGGTTCGGAGAGGAGGGAGCGCCGTTTTGGAGGTGAAGAGGAGGAAGCGCATGGGAGGTGGCTTGCAGGGGAGAGGCGGGCCGCGCGTGTCGGAAAGTAGTGCGATGCAGCGGAGGAGGTGACTAGCGGAGGACAGGGCAGCTTGCGTGGGGGTGCGCTGTGGAAGGTCACCTGCGGGATTCGTCGGCTGTTTAGTCTAGTGGTATGATTCTCGCTTAGGGTGCGAGAGGTCTTGTTTTGAATTCCCGGAACAGCCCCTCGACGTGGCGGATGGGTGCACCAAGTGCTGCGCATTTTGTCCCCGCCGCAACTGCTCATGCTGCTGCCTCCTCCAAACCGAGGTGGGTTGTGTGTGGTGGTTTGGCCGGTCGTGAATGGAAGCTTGCAAGAAGAGGAGAAGGGCGTGGTTGTGTTCGGTGCATTCCGCTGCTCGTTTTTGGTGCGGCGACGACACTTTGGTTCGTGGGTGGGCTGCAGTTGGAGCGGCTGGGGAGGCGGTCGCTGTGGCTGAGGGAGAGGGTTCGGAGAGGAGGGAGCGCCGTTTTGGAGGTGAAGAGGAGGAAGCGCATGGGAGATGGCTTGCAGGGGAGAGGCGGGCCGCGCGTGTCGGAAAATAGTGCGATGCAGCGGAGGAGGTGACTAGCGGAGGACAGGGCAGGTTGCGTGCGGGTGCGCTGTGGAAGGTCACCTGCGGGATTCGTCGGCTGTTTAGTCTAGTGGTATGATTCTCGCTTCGGGTGCGAGAGATCCCGGGTTGAAATCCCGGAACAGCCCCTCGACGTCGCGGATGGGTGCGCCAACTGCTGCGCATTGTGTCCCCGACCCAACTGCTCATGCTGCTGCCTCCACCAAGCCGAGGTGGGTTGTGTGTGGTGATTTGGCCGGTCGTGAATGGAAGCTTGCAAGAAGAGGACAAGGGCGTGGTTGTGTTCGGTGCATTCCGCTGCTCGTTTTTGGTGCGGCGACGACACTTTGGTTCGTGGGTGGGCTGCAGTTGGAGCGGCTGGGAGCCGGTCGCTGTGGCTGAGGGAGGGGGTTCGGAGAGGAGGGAGCGCCGTTTTGGAGGTGAAGAGGAGGAAGCGCATGGGAGATGGCTTGCAGGGGAGAGGCGGGCCGCGCGTGTCGGAAAATAGTGCGATGCAGCGGAGGAGGTGACTAGCGGAGGACAGGGCAGGTTGCATGGGGGTGCGCTGTGGAAGGTCACCTGCGGGATTCGTCGGCTGTTTAGTCTAGTGGTATGATTCTCGCTTAGGATGCGAGAGGTCTTGCGTTGAATTCCCGGAACAGCCCCTCGACGTGGCGGATGGGTGCACCAAGTGCTGCGCATTTTGTCCCCGCCGCAACTGCTCATGCTGCTGCCTCCTCCAAACCGAGGTGGGTTGTGTGTGGTGGTTTGGCCGGTCGTGAATGGAAGCTTGCAAGAAGAGGAGAAGGGCGTGGTTGTGTTCGGTGCATTCCGCTGCTCGTTTTTGGTGCGGCGACGACACTTTGGTTCGTGGGTGGGCTGCAGTTGGAGCGGCTGGGGAGGCGGTCGCTGTGGCTGAGGGAGGGGGTTCGCAGAGGAGGGAGCGCCGTTTTGGAGGTGAAGAGGAGGAAGCGCATGGGAGATGGCTTGCAGGGGAGAGGCGGGCCGCGCGTGTCGGAAAATAGTGCGATGCAGCGGAGGAGGTGACTAGCGGAGGACAGGGCAGGTTGCATGGGGGTGCGCTGTGGAAGGTCACCTGCGGGATTCGTCGGCTGTTTAGTCTAGTGGTATGATTCTCGCTTAGGGTGCAAGAGTTCCCGTGTTGAAATCCCGGAACAGCCCCTCGCCGTGGCGGATGGGTGCACCAACTGCTGCGCATTTTGTCCCCCGCCGCAACTGCTCATGCTGCTACCTCCTCCAAACCGAGGTGGGTTGTGTGTGGTGGTTTGACGGGTCGTGAATGGAAATTTGCAGCACGAGGACAAGGGCGTGGTTGTGTTCGGTGCATTCCGCTGCTCGTTTTTGGTGCGGCGACGACCTTTGGTTCGTGGGTGTGCTGCACCTGGAGCGGCTGGGGAGGCGGTCGCTGTGGCTGAGGGAGGGGGTTCGGAGAGGAGGGAGCGCCGTTTTGGAGGTGAAGAGGAGGAAGCGCATGGGAGGTGGCTTGCAGGGGAGAGGCGGGCCGCGCGTGTCGGAAAATAGTGCGATGCAGCGGAGCAGGTGACTAGCGGAGGACAGGGCAGGTTGCGTGGGGGTGCGCTGTGGAAGGTCACCTGCGGGATTCGTCGGCTGTTTAGTCTAGTGGTCTGAATCTCGCTTCGGGTGCGAGAGTTCCCGGGTTGAAATCCCGGAACAGCCCCTCGACGTGGCGGATGGGTGCACCAACTGCTGCGCATTTTGTCCCCGCCGCAACTGCTCATGCTCCTGCCTCCTCCAAACCGAGGTGGGTTGTGTGTGGTGGTTTGACGGGTCGTGAATGGAAGCTTGCAAGAAGAGGAGAAGGGCGTGGTTGTGTTCGGTGCATTCCGCTGCTCGTTTTTGGTGCGGCGACGACACTTTGGTTCGTGGGTGGGCTGCGGTTGGAGCGGCTGGGGAGGCGGTCGCTGTGGCTGAGGGAGGGGGTTCGGAGAGGAGGGAGCGCCGTTTTGGAGGTGAAGAGGAGGAAGCGCATGGGAGGTGGCTTGCAGGGAAGAGGCGGGCCGCGCGTGTCGGAAAATAGTGCGATGCAGCGGAGGAGGTGACTAGCGGAGGACTGGGCAGGTTGCGTGGGGGTGCGCTGTGGAAGGTCACTTGCGGGATTCGTCGGCTGTTTAGTCTAGTGGTATGATTCTCGCTTCGGGTGCGAGAGGTCCCGGGTTCAATTCCCGGAACAGCCCCTCGACGTGGCAGATGGGTGCACCAAGTGCTGCGCATTTTGTCCCCGACCCAACTGCTCATGCTGATGCCTCCTCCAAACCGAGGTGGGTTGTGTGTGGTGGTTTGACGGGTCGTGAATGGAAGCTTGCAGCACGAGGAGAAGGGCGTGGTTGTGTTCGGTGCATTCCGCTGCTCGTTTTTGGTGCGGCGATGACACTTTGGTTTGTGGGTGGGCTGCAGTTGGAGCGGCTGGGGAGGCGGTCGCTGTGGCTGAGGGAGGGGGTTCGGAGAGGAGGGAGCGCCGTTTTGGAGGTGAAGAGGAGGAAGCGCATGGGAGGTGGCTTGCAGGGGAGAGGCGGGCCGCGCGTGTCGGAAAATAGTGCGATGCAGCGGAGGAGGTGACTAGCGGAGGACAGGGCAGGTTGCATGGGGGTGCGCTGTGGAAGGTCACCTGCGGGATTCGTCGGCTGTTTAGTCTAGTGGTATGAATCTCGCTTCGGGTGCGAGAGGTCTTGTTTTGAATTCCCGGAACAGCCCCTCGACGTGGCGGATGGGTGCACCAACTGCTGCGCATTTTGTCCCCGCCGCAACTGCTCATGCTGCTGCCTCCTCCAAACCGAGGTGGGTTGTGTGTGGTGGTTTGGCCGGTCGTGAATGGAAGCTTGCAGCACGAGGAGAAGGGCGTGGTTATGTTCGGTGCATTCCGCTGCTCGCTTTTGGTGCGGCGACGACACTTTGGTTCGTGGGTGGGCTGCGGTTGGAGCGGCTGGGGAGGCGGTCGCTGTGGCTGAGGGAGGGGGTTCGGAGAGGAGGGAGCGCCGTTTTGGAGGTGAAGAGGAGGAAGCGCATGGGAGGTGGCTTGCAGGGGAGAGGCGGGCCGCGCGTGTCGGAAAATAGTGCGATGCAGCGGAGGAGGTGACTAGCGGGGGACAGGGCAGGTTGCGTGGGGGTGCGCTGTGGAAGGTCACCTGCGGGATTCGTCGGCTGTTTAGTCTAGTGGTATGATTCTCGCTTCGGGTGCGAGAGGTCTTCTTTTGAATTCCCGGAACAGCTCCTCGATGTGGCGGATGGGTGCACCAAGTGCTGCGCATTTTGTCCCCGCCGCAACTGCTCATGCTGCTACCTCCTCCAAACCGAGGTGGGTTGTGTGTGGTGGTTTGGCCGGTCGTGAATGGAAGCTTGCAGCACGAGGACAAGGGCGTGGTTGTGTTCGGTGCATTCCGCTGCTCGTTTTTGGTGCGGCGACGACACTTTGGTTCGTGGGTGGGCTGCGGTTGGAGCGGCTGGGGAGGCGGTCGCTGTGGCTGAGGGAGGGGGTTCGGAGAGGAGGCAGCGCCGTTTTGGAGGTGAAGAGGAGGAAGCGCATGGGAGGTGGTTTGCAGGAGGGAGGTGGGCCGCGCGTGTCGGAAAGTAGTGCGATGCAGCGGAGGAGGTGACTA